CTGAGAGAGCAGGTGCAAAGCAACACATTTCTCAGGCTTGAAACCAAGGAGAAAAGAAGCCAGGAACTGAGGATGAGGAGGTCTTATCTGTGGTGCACCTGAAGCAACAGGTAGAGCAATTGGCAGAGAATTTGACTGAAAACCAAATCTCAACTTTTTCCTGAGTGAAAATTGCAATTGCACTTTCCATGAACACATGCACAATGAAAAATGCCCAAACTCCTGTGCTGCTACAAGTGAAACAGGCTGGAGTCAATGAAGTTTCCTTTTAATTAGTTTTTATCCAAACCAATATCAAAATATGAAGATATTTCAGAAAAAATATCCTATTATGTTGTTAGATCATTATGGCTGCACAGCTGAAGCTGCAAGCAGCTGGAAAGGTCTGATCAGCCTTAATCCTCTCCTATTGCTCTTCCCTTATTAATAATAATCCTTATTGCTTGACTCTGATTGTGGGAATTAGTTTCTTTCTTTTCCTACCAGACTCTTTAACATTTATATTGAGTATGCATCTAAAATGACCCATTTACACCTGGTTTGCAAAAACACTTGAAGTGCTGTCCGCATTTGTGAAAAGAGTGCAAAGAAATTACAGGAGGCCTTTACAACATACAAGAAAGCTACTGCCATGAGAACAGTTGCATGGCATATTCCTTTCGTGACTTTCTAAACAATTAATGTTTTCTTTAAGATTGTCATTAGGCAATAAATGACATTGGAAAGCAAAAAAGAGAGGAAAGAAACTAGGATGCCAAGAGCATGGAAGGGACTGAGACTGGATGCTGGAATATTGAACCAAAAGCTAAGTAGAAGAGCTAGAGGGAGATTCAGATGTAACAGGACAGAATTTAAACATAAACAGCTTCTGAATTTTGGAGCCTCCAAGTGTTGGAGACTGTCAAATTTTTGGGCCATCAGATATGTGGGGCAGATGTTACTGTGCTGGGTCTCATCCCAGGTTCCTTTTTGGTTTCACACAGGAGCTTGAAATCCTTGGGAAAGCCTACAGTCTTGTTGACTACACGTTTCTTCCAAGCCCTGTCATTCTTAGTGCAGAACATAAAAATAATGAGTTTACAAATAGCTTTATAATGTCTTGGAGGCTAAGGAAGTAATCTATCGAAGAAATGGAACTGGTGCATGTGTTTTATAGGGAAAAAAATTTCCACTAGACAAACATATTTATTGTTTTAAAAATCAAATGCTCCCTATTATTGATATCAACAGCAATATAACAGCAAAGAAACCATCACTAGGAAAATACCTTCTCCTGGCTAATACAGTTACACGAACAAATAGGTTAGCTGCTGAATTGTTCTTTGGACAAAGGGAAGTCCAGACTACGGATTCTGGAAGAACACAAAGCATCTGTCTCTGTTAAAAGCACTAACAAAGTGGAGGATGTGATCCACAACCCACCTCCCAAAGTTCAGGTCTTACTATGGCCCAGCTTCCAAAGAATACCGGGATGCAGTGTGGCTGTGGGGACATGGTTAAACCTGATGTCCATTAGTACATGGAGAGGCTGTGCTATCAGGGAGAATTGAGTGAATCTGACTTAAAATAATCACAGAAGCTATCTGAACAAGCAGCTCCACCCCAAAGCACTCTAGCACTTCCCCAAAAGCAACAGCTTATCTTCTGGTAGGATGCTTAACTGATTCTTTATCACTCAAGCTACCTCCTTTCTGTCCCCGGTATGCCACAGAATGCTAGAAGCAAAGAGAGCCTCCCTGCTCCCCCACATTTGATCATCCCTAATTACCTTTCCCAACCCATTAAACAAAATTCTTTCGTTAGAAACCCAAGGGATTTTGTGGTATCAGAATTTCTTCTCTATTTCTGTTAAGCATGCACAGACACATAAAATGTTCTTACATCATTAAGATGCAAAACACACTGTTCTTGAGCAAGTATTTTTCAAAAACAATGTTTCCAAAGCCAGAATTTCCTGAAGCCAGTGGTTTCTGGGTGCTCCCTTGGGGAAAAAAAAGGGTTTATAGAGCTGATTTCTGCAAAGCCTGATGTTCTAGTCAGACAATTGTGAAAACTATTGCTATAGGCCTGGAAGCCTTCACTGTGCCCTTCACTCATTGCAGTCACTGCACTACCTGCCTCTGTCAAACCACAGCATCTCTCCCTCCCCACTCCTTGCAAAGTAGCACAGCTGTAACTAAGCCCAAAAGTTTTGGAACTATCACAAGTCTAAAAACACTACCACCAGTCACATCCCTTGAATATACTAGCACTGTATTTTTGTTATATAAGGTGTTTAATGGTCAATTAATTTATTGCATGGGCAGTAAAGTACATAAATGTGTGTGCCAGAGTGTTAGGGAAAATAGGGGTGTTAAGTGTAATGAATATAATTCATGCTGATATAATATGATGCATGTAATATTTGATATTGTTAGAAGCACACACATCGGCATTGGGAGTTGCCCCCACGTACTCGAAAACCAGTCCCTGCCAAAACCTCATTTGCAAACGAACACATGTGGCTGGCCCGGAGACGGGTCATTTCTCGAGGTGATACAGGAACGCCCAGGTGTTGATCCAGGCTGATACATCTGAATGCTGCGTTCCAGTAACTCCATCAGGGAGATTCATCAGCACCCGGCACCGGATTGTTCCACCCCAATACAGAGAAAAGAGACTTTATGAATATGTGGGACTTTGAATGGGAAGAAAAGACTGGATTGCCGAAATCCCGGCCTTGGGCGGAATATTCCCTATAAAAACCGCTTGTAGGGGAGGGTGGTGTGTGGCACAGGGGGAACCTCTGCTGAGGCTGTCCCCTCTGTGACACACCCAGCACCGATCCCGGGCTCGGCGCTGTCCTTTTCCATATGGCTGGCTCAAAGAGAACTCAATCGCTGTAATAAAATTTCTATTTTTCATTTTTAATTTGGCCAGATCAACTCTTGTCTATAACAGGGGCAAGGTGGCTGAAGAGCAAAAGAGGAAGAATGAGTGGAATGAAGAGACACTTGGAAACCTTGTACAGCCTTCCCTTGTGCACCAAGCTGCCATATTCCCTGCTTCTCACATCCCAGCTTGTAAAATGGGAAGCACACCCATGAGAAGTGGCCAGTACAAGCGCACACCTCCAGCAGTGAGGCTCCTGAGCAGCGCAGGGAGGAAGGAGCAGTATCTGTTCCTGTAAAATAGCATCAAGCATAAGCGCTGAACAGGGTGAGGCTGCTGGGGCGGGGAAACAGACCAGACAGGAATGGGGAGATTCCTGCCAGGAATGAGATTCCTGGTTCATTCAGGACTCTTGTGTTATTGTTTCCTTCTTTCTGTGTTTGGAGCTTGAAGAAAGGGGAAATGGTATGTAATTTGGAGCACGGGGCTCGACCCAGTCTTACCAAATCCACCTTTGATAAGCCTCCTGAACTTTCGAAGTCTTCACTTCCCTCAGCCATGGATGGCATTTACAAGTGGCTCAGTGCTACTCTCAGATCTCACACAGCAGGGTAAAACACTTTCTCCCCTGACCATGTGGTGCTTTTGAGACCACTCATCTTCAAGGTACATTTAATAATATTTCCTTCATTTATTTTCCACCCCTTTCAGGCCAATATTTATTTCCTTTTATTTTGCTCATGCTCAGTAATATTAGTCATTACTTCTCTAGCTGTTTACTTCTCTTTTTTATTAAGGAGGAAATCCTAATTCATGCCTTCCTGGGATTTCAAAATCACTCATTTGCAGCAGCTTAACAGTAACTGAGTGGCAAAGCCTAGTCCTTGAAATCTGTCACGAGTGGAAAGCAAAGACTTAGAAGACCATTGTGGCAAACAGCTAATGTACAAAATGACAAGGAGGTGTACGTGATATATAAGAGGATATTGACTTAGGTTTTTGGAAGCAAATCCAAGAAAGGCTTTTTTCAATCATTGTGCAAGATTTTTTGCTTTCCTCAGCCAACACAAGTCAGTGATTGGGAAATACTCATATCAGGAGAGACACCTAAAGCCAGACAACCATTAAGCATGACACTGGGCGTGCCCTCATTACAGTGCTAAGGTGTGTGAGCGCCCCATTTAGAGAAAGATAAAAGATAGCAGTTTATTTGTAAAACAGCAGAGCCCTCACCCCCGTCCTTATCTAAAGCTCCAACAGGGATGCTTAGGTGAGAGCACAGGCTCCACCAACAACCTTCTCCATCCCCCCTGCCACTACCACAGCGTGCTGTAAAGCCAGCCTTCTTACAGTCACAACAGGACTTTCTCCTAGTGATCACATCAAGATCCAGAATTAGCACGTTCCAAGACAGACAGTAAGCTCCCAGTCAGAACAGGTATCACAGCGAGACAACCTTTAAATTTGGGCTCTTTTGGTAAAAATACACTTTTAGATTTGTTCATTCTTCAGGATGTTACCTGCCAACAGCTCTACAAAATATTCATGTATGTGAGAAGTGCTACTTCAAAGAGAACAGCCTAAGAAAATAGAAAGTAAACTGGCTTGGATTTTAAGCAGTACTAGGCTGGATAGCAGGCATCAGTGTGGGGTTCAGCTATGCCGTCCCTGCATAAATGTAAACATCATGAAAAGGCAGCTTTGCCTGCCTACATATTTTTGTTGTTATACTTGAACAGCAACAAATCACACTTTAGAAATTACTCTACACACTTGAAGCTGACAAAACAGCTTTCCACTAGTGATTACTACATTGCAAAGTCAAGTCCACCACCGGTTAAGCTTTAGAAGGAAGTTACTACTTGTGTTTGTTGTGTTTGATATGAACTAGGTGCTAAGTCAGTCCATGGGATCAACAGCATTTGCATGAGCATTCCCGACTCTCTCTGCAGTTTAGGAGAGCCAAAAGCAGCATTAGGTCTCACGATTACAAATTAACACACAAGCCTAATCCATACAAGGTGTTCAATGGACATTAAGAAGACCATAAAAACAGCTTAATAAGTAATGTTGCAACTACCTATTTGTTTTCAATATTGAGGCAATTAGGATAAACAATGAAACCTTACCTTTGCTCCTTTAGTGATTCCATTTTTCTTAGATATTCCACTTTTTAAGAGGTTATTCTGTTTCTGATGATGATGATGATGTAGATGTCCATTGCACACAGCACTGGGATTAGCCATCTGTTTAAATTAGTAAGATTCTCAGTTCTTAAGGGTGTCTCGGGTCTTTCTACTGTAAAAAAGACAGTGGGATGAGAAGATAAAGTTCTTGGTTAAGGCCTGAAAGGTATCCAACTGGTCTGTCAGGATTTTCCAGGATGAGAGGAGGAACTATCTTTTGCAATCTCTTCAAAACATAAAACTTTCTTTCATATAGCTTCAGCCCCAGCAAGCTAGAATGTGAAATACATAGCAGGAGGTGTGCTGTTAAAATCTCTGAAAATTACTGCTCATCGCTGGCTCTTGCATGAACACGGCTCCTGTGAGTCAACAAGACTGCTGCAGCTATCAAGAAGTGGGTGGATTCAGAGGCGGAGACACTTAAAGATACATTACCTCTTAAATACCTCGGAGAGAGAAACTTTTGTTTCTTTTTTCCGAATTACGCTCAGCGCCATAGAAACTGCCAAAAAGCTTTTGAAAATTTTAGCAGTGTAATCTGTAAAATTACATGGTTCAGCTCGCGAAGAGTATATTAGCTGAAAACAGGTAGTATTGCCCTGAGTAAAGCAGACACTTCAAAAAATTTCTTTTAACCTCTAGTTATATAAGTAGCATGAAAGACACAACATTATACCTGCAAAGAAATGGAAAGCATTTTAGTTATAAAATGATAATTTATCTAGAGCTCCATACTACAGACACGTGCACAACTATTCACTAGAGTGATTTGTCCCTTCAAACTCAGTTTGGCCAGTAGTAGGATAAATGGCATGCTATAACAATGAATGAGAAATGGATTTTTATAAAGCTGATTAATTTCGTTTTAAAACAAGTCAGGGTTTCATTACTTGCGAAACTACTAAGGCCGACTAACATATATCCTTTCTTTTATGAAAAAAGGTTTTTAATTATGAAAATGCATATATGGTCTTTGCTGAATCAAATTCTCGTGCTTCAGATTTTAGTGGCAAAAAGTAAAAGTAGCAACATCTCTGGTAGCATTTAATAGAATCTCTTCCTCCCAAAATAATTCAAATTAGTGTGGAGACAGATTAAAGAAAAGCTGTATTATAATATAATTTTTGAAAAAACAGGAGGAAAGGGTGAGAGAATAAAAATACTTGAAGTTCTTTAGTTAGAGAAAATTGCTATGCCATCCTGGCAATGAAATGTAAGTTATATACAGAAAGAGCAGCCTAGAACTTGAGTACATGGAATGCAGGAGATGAAGTGTTAAATAAACCACTGTGAAAATACACAGGAAAGCACACTGTGTTGGTTTGGAAAATTTACCTTAGACACATATTAAATTGCTAAAATATATTTTCTTCTTTGAAGTAATTTACAAAGTGAAATATCATCAATGTACTAGACAATTTTTGGTCCTGCTTAAGAGTGATCCAAACTTTAATTAATAAGACTGTAGTATTTTGGGGGAAGAAAATAACCCCTTAACTCATTAAAATGAAACAGGAGCAGTAAAACACCAAAATGTTTTGCCTCACAGTTTTACAAGATTCACCATAAGAAAGCAGATTTTAAAAATTTTATCTTTTTGGTGCTTTTTCTAGGCAAGAATACGTCATTTCTGTATGAATAAGTTTTGTTTAGGTTTCACTAAGGCGTCTGTAAGTATAGGTCACTGACAAATTAATTGTGAATTTAATAATGTCAATTATAGTGGCAATATAAATTGTTGGTCTTAACTAGCTAAGAGTTCATATTTGCAAAGAAAAAAGGAGACTGAGATGAGGATAAGCCTGCAGGAAGAATGGTTGGCAATATCTCCTGCATACCCATCCCCTATGGGCTGATGATAAATGGAACAAGGTAATGCAAGGCATTCTCTCTGCACCTGGCAACCCTCTCCCATCAAGGAGCTTTCTTAGTCTGGGAATTGTGTCCTTGATTGTCACAGCAAATCAAACACCTGTAAAACATGCCATCTGCTCAGTGAGTTACTGATCATCTTCCCCCTGTTGTGATAAAGGCAAGGACACCACAGTAGTGCTGCTCCCCTTAGCTGCTCCCATGTTCCAGCTAGCACCTCTGTCAGCTGCTTTTCCCAACAGGCTCAGCACATTTCAAGGCACAAAGCAATAAAATTAACATATTGTATGTGTCTTTTTCCCCTCTCCAGTTAAGTTCATGAGGGAAGTGGAATCTCCAGTTGAATCAACAGTTCAGATAATGCAAATTCAGTTGCTAGTTCCAGGCTCTAGGTCTTGCTATCTGTTTCAAGACCCCTGAAATATCAATGTCCTTACATGAATAAAATAGCAAATTAATTGTGTTATGGTAATTTTAGTTTTCAATAGCTATATTATTTAAGATAACAAACAAATAGAACTTTAAAAACTAACACATTTAAATATGAGTTTAAATGAGCAATTAAAAAAATAAACTCAGAGAAGGGCTGCCCATTTGGATATCTGTTAACCATGATCTAAAAGCCAGGTTCACAAAACAAATACCACTAGAAGCTGACTAAAATTCCTGCCCTGATCCTATTCAGAGCAAAAGACTTATAGAAGGGATGAGTCTGGACAAATACACAAAAATTATCTGTAAACAGAATGTGGTATTTTTCCTGGAGAAAAAAAACTAAAGAAATAAACAAACAAGAAAACCCCCAACAGCAACAACACCCCCCCAAGAAACCTCCCCAAGCTCCCCCAAAACCTAAACAAAAAACCAAAAAACCCCAACAAAAACCCAACCCAAACGAAAAAATAAGCAGAAAAAAGCCGAAAAACCCAAATCAAATGAGGAAAAAAAAAAAATCCCCAAAATCATTGTGCCCTTCAGAACTCTATCTTACTCAAAGCCATCTCATTTATTACTCAGGCTTCTGCATACATATCTATCATGTTACCTGTTACCTGCACCTAAATCTCTCACTCAAATGCATGAGGATCTGTGCTGCCTGGACACTGGAGAAAGGAATCAATAATTGTCTGCTTTGCAACACCAAAACCACCACTAGCAATACCCTATTTTTGTCATTCTGGGAAGTGGGAGGAAATCATCTGCTGTGCTGATGGTACAAGAACTGTGTGTATTTAACTGCAGGGAACACCAATCCTACTAAGATTGTGTTTGCACTTCTCTTTAGTGGCTTGGGTACTGATCACTCTTCATTCTTTGACAAGAAGATGGTGAATTTCTAAGAATCCCAGCAGACCACACACAATGTTCTACAAAAATGCTAGCAAAATTTCCAAGATGTGACTACAGTTACTATAAATCTGCAGGAAAACCATCAATGAATTCCCAGGTTCTAGGTTGTGAATTCCCAGGTTCTAGGTTGTGAATTACCAGGTTCTAGGTTATGAATCTCCAGGTTCTAGGTTTTATTCCTTGCTTTGTCATCATCATTTTTACACCATTGCATTCTTGTTAAGTCACACTGAAATCAGGAGAAAAGTGTTTAAGTCTTTTTTAAATGCTCTGAGACAAACTGCTGGGGAGTATGATGCAAAAGTGAAGTAAAATATATGCAGTATAATTAGCCAAGGTTTAACAACAGGGCAGAGAGAACCGAGAGGGATAGGGCTCTAAGTAGTCCTCAGTGTTGGAAGAAAATCACTTTTCTGGTAAAAATTCCATTGTTACATAGGACAGATTAAAAGGCTGAATGCTTCTGATGCACTCAAGAAGCAGGGACGAAATATTCTATTAGACTTTTGGTCCAGTCAGACATGTAGTGTCATTGTAGTGGTCACAATGTCCCCATTTAAAATGACAATACTGGATTCACAGTGTTCCCATTTATAATAGCAGTACTGCATTACCTACCAATAAATAAATTAAACAAAAAAACGTTGCAAGAAAGCATGAGAGCTCATCCCAGAAAACTGTCATGTCATAAACCAGAAGGATTTAATAGGATTCCTGCTCATCCCAGAGTACAGTTATTTACAGCAGTGTTGCGAAATGGTCTTGCAATCTAATGGCAAGACCTTGATAATTTCTGTTTATTACAGATTCCCATTTACATACTACATGAAACAATAAGGGTCTAAACAAAGACACCAGGTAGCTTTATGTTTGTTTTGAGTGGACAAACACCGCTGTCAAACAAGAGCTGAAGAAACTAGGAACCAAAATCTATTCCTCCGTTAAAATTGAAGATTCTAGTAGTGTTTAAATTGGCAGCAGAGCATGATGGTAATGGAGTACACAGTAAAAAGACCTTTTTTGTTCTTACAATCATTTCCCTTAAAATAGAAATCCATCTCATAAATTCTGTGCACCATTGATGACTTATATTTGATGTATGTGGACACATGGATGTTGGAGGCAATTCCTGCTTTGGATATGTAGAAGAAAAAATAGGGAGACACCACAACAACAAAGCAAGAGCAAGTACCAGCCATCAGCTGGTCAGTCACACCCAGGGTGTCTTTTGAGTCATCCACACTTCACTAGCACCAGCTAGAGACTAAATTTCCCTAAATCCTTACATGGAAGAACCCCCCATCTGTGTTTGCTTCTTTACTTCTTTACACCTTATCTAGCAGTGCATATGTGGAATGTCACGTAGGGATATGCCACTACACCTGGAAATAAAACTGCACACCAATACTGCAAGATCCCCTCAACTGCCCTTGCACAACTTGAAGGATACACAAAATGGTTTGATATTGGTCAGAGAATAATCTAGAGCAACTCAGACCCATGGCACAGGTGGACTCACACAGGCAGTGTTGCGACAGGGCAGGGCATGGCACAACACGCAGGGCTGCCCTGTGCCTGGCAGCTCCATGCAGCCCCTGCAGGGCCCTGGGGCTGGCACAGCTCTGCACCTCCTTTTCTTCATGGGGCACAGCAAGATGACAAGACAATGCTTGAAAACCTTAAGCATTTAAAGATGCTGTCAGCCTGGCTTCTTAGGCAATGTTATCAGAACCAGTTTTCTGACTGCGTCTGGGTGTCAGCAAGCTTTGAGTATTCATAGCATCAGGAAATTGTTGGGATTTTCTGTCTGATACAAATATCTGATTGATACATGATACATAAATCCAGTTAGGAATCTGTTCCTAACCTGAGGACACTTGAAGCACTTGT